CTTATGCTATCACAGGCTTACTGCTTTTAATGAAGGCAGAAGTTGTGGCAAAATCAAACTCGTCAGTTTGACTGACAATGTGAAGACAATTGAAAGCTGTCATTTAGCTTTACGGTTTGACATTTGTTTGCAGTTACATTTTTAACTGCAACTAAGGGAGTCTTGGTTTTTTGCATGTGTATAAGAAATTAGATTCTCATTTTCTTTTTGGTCTAAGAACTTAAAAGTTAAAGTTTTAAAAATAAACACTCTTAATTGTGAGTTGATCCTAGTTTTCCAAATGTGCCAACTCCCCAAAACATTATTTTAAAAAATCTCTGTCTGGTGAAGTTGCAGGCTGGGACGCTCAGGCAGCCGCCCCTCCTCTCACGTGGGAGAAGCAGAGGCGGCATCAGAGAGTCCCAGGCTGGTGTGAGCCGGGGCAGCTTTGCCACTCGTGAATCACATCACTTCAGAAACCTCCATTTCTTCTAAAAGTTGGGGGATTGCATTCATGTATTTCCAAAGGCCGACAAGAAAAAAAACCCACTGTATTCCTAGAGACCAAAACGGTGCCTGACACCTAGTAGGCGCTCCATAAATATTTGTTGATCATGTGGATGTATGGGCGGGAATGAGCTGAACCCCAGTCGGGCCAGAGCTCCCAGCATTTCTCTGAGGGTCAGAGGGTCTCTGACTTGCCAGAAGTCAGAGCTGGGACTACAGTTCTGTATTCTGGTGAAAATCTTTTGTATTGGGTTCTTAGTAAATCCAAATGTGGGACCCAAAGTTGTGTAGTTTCCTATAAATCTAAAGCAGCAATTTCTGTAGAACTGGTTTGGTTCTAAAGAGGAAATTGAGTATCTGCATGACAGTCAAAAACAGCTGTACATTTTCAGCTTTTTATAACATGAAAAATAGCAACATGCCTCTAATAATTATGTTTTATTTCTTAAATTCCTCTAGATTTCTAGCAGAAAGTCTCACCAGAATCAAAGTTGATCCTTAGAGGTCCCTTCAACACAGGATTCTTTTTTCTCAATCAGTTTCTTAAGACAGTTTCCTATTCCTAAACAATGTGCAAGCTCTTCCATAAGTGTGTACTGTATAAGTGTGCTCTTTATTTTTTTTAAAGATTTTATTTATTTATTTTTAGAGAGGAAAGGGAGGGAGAAAGAGAGAGAGAAACATCAATGTGCAGTTGCTGGAGGCCGTGGCCTACAACCCAGGCATGTGCCCTGACTGGGAATCGAACCTGCGACACTTTGGTTTGCAGCCCGCACTCAATCCACTGAGCTACGCCAGCCAGGCTGTGTTCTTTATTTTTAAATCACGATTATCTTTTTTCACACATACAGTCATCTCTGTATGCATCACTCAGCGCACAGCCCATGCTAATCGAGGACGGTTAGTGTTTGTAACATCACATATAATTTTTCCTCCTGCCTTGTCCCATGAAGAAATCACAGTGAAAAGTTTTTGGAGTCGGAAACAGAGGTTCAGCAGGAATCAAAGATACATAAAAATCCTTATTTCTGTCATTATAAGTATCAAGCAAACTTACCATCACAGACACAAGTTTGTAATTTTTATAACAGTATACTTAAAACACCTTATACTTTGCACAGATTCATAAGGAACTTCACAATTCTTTGAAATTCAGTGAATAGTTATACTTCACTAAAATTGTTTGAAACGTGATTTATGTTTTAGCTTCCCTAATCTACTGGACTTTCACAGTTTTATTCTAAAGGGATACACCTGACAGTGGTGTTTTGTATTGGGTTCATCAGAGGAACGTGTATGGAGTGGATTCTGCTTCTGGCGCTATCAATCAAAATTATAACTGTCTCCAGGGAGACTGAAATTTGAGCATCTCAAATGTTCAGTATCATCCATTTTATAGTACAGGTAATTCATAATGTACTCACAGGCACCTGTCTGAAAATGCTCCTTGGAACTTTCTAATCAGAAAGACCTCTTTTTAAATAGGAAAACTGGCTTAAGAAATAAAGTAGATGAAATTGCCAGAACTCTGCAGTCTGGCCATTTCTAACAGGCACATGGCCAGCCACAGCCATTCTATGATAATTTTGAAAATCAGGTAAAGTGCCACTTTATTTCCATATCCCAAGACCCTCAATCCCATCTGCAAATTCCCTCTGCTATATATGGTAAATCATCTATGGAAAGGAAGGAAGTAGAGAAAGTTGTTTCCCAACAGGGCAAAATCACTAATGCCCTCTTTTAATGTGACCAGCGCAGACAAGTATGTATCGGAGAGGAAAACCAGGAGCTGCGGCGAAGACTGGACTGGGAAATCACTTCCATGGGGAAGAACCATAGCCTAAGCAAAGAATGTTTCCCATCTCCAGGCTAAGAAGCCTCACAGTGGCTTCCAGTGGGATTTCAGAGTGGCAATGGACTCCACCTAGGGCCAGGTGACTTACTGGGTACTTCCCAGTGAGAGGACTGGGCTGCCCACTCTTTGTTGACATCAGACCTGGCCACTTGACTTGTTCTTGCCACTGAAATGTGGGAGAAGTGATATGCACCCATTCTAAGCAGAAGCTCTAACAGATCCTATGCTTTGGCAAGTTTTGTTGTCAGTGAGCCACAGAATCAGAATTCTCATGTAAGAGTTGCTCCTTGGGCTGCTTCCTGGAACAAAACGGGGAACAGCTCAGCAGATGACACCTAATGAGCAAAAAAATAAACACACTTTAGCGTTGTGAGTCTTTGAGATTGCAGACATGTTATGTTCCATATGTCTCTGAAATATAAAATTAGAGCGGTCAGTGGAGAGCTGGATATGTGAGTCAACTACGCAGGGAACAGATAGGAGCTGGAGATAAAATTTGGGAGCTGTCAGCATCTGTATTGCATTTTAACCATAAGAGTAGATAAGATCGCCTAGAGAAAGAGTAGAGAGAAAAAAAAAAGGTCCAGAACAAAGTGCTGAGAACACAAACATTAATTGACAAGTAGAGGAAGATAAGTCTGCAAGGGAGACAGCAGTGGCCACATCTTTGGAGGAAAGCCATAAGTGTGGTTTTTCATGTAACCCTACGTTTGCTGTCTTCATTCTGTGTTCCCTCTGCTTCACTTCCCTTTCTCCAGCTCCCAGACTGCTGAGCAAGCATCAGGACCTCCTAGGTCTGCCTCACACTTGAGAAGATAAAGCTTCTTCTTACATTGGTGGATTTGAGTGCCATATGGGCAGGGACCCTGCCTGCCTAATTCGCCTCTGTCCCTCCAAGGCCTGATGGTGCTGCCTTGTTCATAGTGTGCACAGTGGTCAGTGAACCTGCCATACTTCTCGCCTGCCCATTCCCTCCCCTTGGTCTCTCCCTGTTGCTCTCTTTCCCCCACATACCCATTCTACTCTGCACTCAGGCTTAGCTGTATTTGTAAATACGGGGTACATACATGGAAGGTTCACACAGGTGCAAAGGATAAAAAAGTACAACACAATGAACATCTATGTATCAATCACTCAGTGTAGGAAAATGAACCTTACCTTTGGCTTTGAACCCCGTGTGCTTCTCCCCAGTTCCACCGCATTGCATTCTTCCCCAGAGGAAACCAGCAAAGGGCACTTTGCGGTTCTCAGCAAACTAGGAATAAAGACATCTACAAAAACTGCGGTAACTTATGCCTGTGATTTCTTTGCTTCACTCGATGATTTTACCAAGTATGTTTGTATTCCTAAAAATGTTAGATTTCTATATATGTTATCTTTATAGAAATAAAATCACGTATATTATTCAGTGATTTTTTTTCTTTGTGCTCAAGATATGTTTCTGAGCTTTGTCCATAATAATGCATGTGGCTGAGAATCATTCATTTCTTCATCTACAGTTTATTCTAAAGTATACCACTATTTATTTACCCATTCTGCCGTAGCTGTATTCCAGAAGTTTTGATATAGTAGAACAAGGAGGAAGAGTTAGAGATGACTCAGAGATTTCAAGCTAAGATTTTGACTGTTACAGGTTTTCAGAAGTCAAAAGGAAAGGCAAGATCACAGGAAATGTGATCTTTATGAATATGAAAAATTCAAGATCTTGGAATTCAATTTTTCTTGAAATTCAAGAATTTCAAGATCTTGATGATCTTGAAAAACTCCGATGAATTTTTTCTTAAATGTGAAATCTTTGGTGTTGATGGATCATTAGAGATTTCCAACAACGATTATAAATGAGAGTCATGAATTTGAGAAAAGGGATCAGAGCAAAGGAAGAGGTTGGTGATGGAAAACAAAGGGTGTAGAAGAGGAATAAGCAATGGAGAAAAATCACCTACATGGACGAGAAGACTCGTGGAGATTACAGAAAAGGGAGGAGCCCTGACCAAGAAGCCTGCTGTTGCCACCACTTGTGATAGTCAAAGGTTTAATTTCAGTGCCCCATGAAAGGTTCTCGTGAATCACCCACACAACCTCCATCAGGAGGATCACAAACTAAGCTTTAAGATCTGTTTGTGTGAATTACAATATTAAAGTGTTCTTTGTGTTTTCAATTTTCTGATTTTTTTTATATTATACCATACCACATCTCAGACATTACCCTCCCATTGGTTTGTTCCTACCGCTACTTGAGAAAAGTAAAAGAAAAATAAATCTAGCAGAAACCACAAACATGTTGATTTCATGGCATATCCCAACATAGTTTCCTTTAAAAAAACCAAAATATTGTCTAGTGTTACAATTTAGTCATAAACTTTAGAACCACAATGTATAGCATTTTATTATATTTGTGATTCCATATATGTTATTACTATTTCATGCAAAAACGACCCTACTTACTACACAGAAATTAAGCCTGAGAAAATACGTACCTTATATGAAGTGTTTGTAAATTACTGGTAGCAGTTAAAATCATATCTAGTAACAGTATATATATTGCTTAAGGGAATAAACAGACTAAGTTGTGAAATTATATCCTCTGAGCCAAGATGTGCACCTTAGTGAGAGTGTTAGGGGTGAGTCTTGACTCATGTGTCGGGTTTATGGTTTTCAGGGAATTGATGCTGATTTCACATCAGAAAAGCATTGAGCAGCTGCAGGAAACCCTTAGACAGAAGCTGCTGGATGATGATAACTGGAGGGAGAAGGTAATGATAATGTAGCTTTCATCAGCATGTGTCTTATTTGCTTTTTAAAAGTTCTATCCATTTGCCAGAAGACAATTACAAATAGATTTCTTTGCTTCTATGCACACATTTGGTTCCTTCTGGAATTTCCTAGACCAAAAATAGTTATGATACATGTCTTTTCCAATTTATTAGATAACATAATGGGAATAAAAAGGTAAGAACAGCACCTGAAATCTTGTAAGATTAAGATAGCCCTTAGTTCTCATGTAAAACCATAATTTTTATTTTTAAATACTTACTTTTTCCCCCCATACAGTGGCAGAATTTGCATATGACTACATGTTTACAAGCAGGGTAATATTACTTCATTCTAACAATGTCTCTGCTTTTAAGAAGGTGGTACAAGAGAACAGAAGATGACAAAATTATTTTCTTATGAACTTTGGGCAGTGTGAACTGACTAAGTACTTAGCTCACTATTTCCAAGGAAATTGTTTGTTCCTAGAGTATTAAAAAATTGCATTGATTTTTGTCTTTGAACTTCTCTATGAGTTTAACAGTTTCAACAATGTATATGTACTGTTTTGTTAATTTTAAAGAACACAAATACATAACATTTTAAAAAATGTTAGCCCCTACCTTCTCAGCCATCATCTCCCTATCATAACTTCTGATGCTCTGTGATTGGTCCCTGGGCCTGGCCCCACACAACACACTGAAGCCTTCTGAACTCTCTTTCGTACCCATCTGGCACCTATCCCTAGCACTAACCTCTGCCTTGGTTTCTGAGCATGATTTCAATCTGCATCCAGAACTAGAGCTGGCTACTAAAGTTCAGGTTGCTTGACTGAAGTCCTGACCTGCTGTTTGGTTATCATCGGCTTTTTCTCTTTGCTGACTACAACCTGTAACCTCAAGCAGCCAGCACTTGCAAACCGACATCTCCTGGAATCTCCCACTTGGCCATCCATCCGATTGAAACCTTTTAGGCATTGTTGCTGGCTCAGGTCAATTGTAAATTTGTCATTTTTATTTCCAGTCTTCACACAGGTGGCCATACTCAGCCCGTACTGGTCCACTGTAGATCAGCTCTTTTTCCCTTTCCCTCAGAGATAGCACTTCTAGTCTGTGACAGAAATGATCATTGTAACAACAGTTTCATATGGGCAACAATTAAATTGGAGGATATGAACCAAAGTTGCTCTGAGTGTCTCTTTCCTATTTTGTCTTATGTTGTAGCATGGTCTTTTTCTTGTCCTTCTCCAAAGCTCGCACTGCTTTAATTCTTTTGAATTTTTATTAGTCTCAGTGTTTGCAATTGGCTAATCTGTTTTACTCACTTCCCCCATCTTTACCAATCCATGTTGAAAAATACAAAAAGATGTGGAACTAACAATCCAAAAAATGCAAATTAAAACAATGAGAAATTGTTTTTCACACTTCCAATTGGTAGAGTGGTTTTTGCACTGCACTGAAAGTCTAGTGAGACAGTCTTTCATACTCACCCTTTAAGGGACAGGAAATTACAGCAGCTGTTTAGAAAGCAGTTTGGCAATTTATATGAAGAGATGTTATAAATGTCCCATCTTTGGCTCAGAAATTTCACTGATGAAAGTAATATGGATAGAGATTTACAGATATTTCCCTTCCCTCAAAATTCTTGGCTCCCCCTAGAGTGACAGAGTAAACTTTACTGCCTTTGCTTGTGTAGAAGTTTCTCATCTCTCAGCTGCATCCCATGAAAGACTTCAGGTACAACCTACTGGAGAACTCTCTGCTTTCACAACCCCGTCTAGAGCTGCTGCTCACTGCACCCTGTCCCTGAGGTGCTAACACAGCGAGTAGACCTAGTTAGTGGGGGCATCTGATCATACAAGAGTATTATGTTTGTGCTTTATGACAAATTAATTTGATGATGAAAATAAACCTACATAGGATTCTTTAAGTTCTTACTAAGACCATATTTTCTTTCTAATAGAACTATATCACAGGTGTATTTTGGCAGGTATAATTTTCTAGAATATAAATGGATATTTTATTGAGTTGAGAAGGCATGACTTCTTGTTAATAAATCTTATCATTTAGTTTAGCATTAAATCAAGATCCAGACCAGTAAAGCCAAGATATGATCATTATGTCTTGGCTGTGTTAGCTATTGAAACTATGAATAAAAAGTTCCATAAAAGTTGTCTCATGAGAGAGAAGGATAGCTAATATGACATTGTCATCTCTTTCCTGGGTCACTGTGCCTTTGTGTAGGAATGAAATGTTCCCTTTATAAATATATAGTACACATACTAGAAGTTTATTAGAATAAACTTCATAACTTAAATGCTTTTAATATTCAAGAAAGTAGATAGCAATTTATGCCTATGCTTAATTATTTCAGAGTATGGGAAAAGCACGTAAGAAAATCAATAGTTGCTATGCAACAAGGATGGCACATTTTTAAATAACTGCATGTTTACTAATTGTCATGAATTTTTGTTTATTTGAAGTGTTGCTTTGATGTGAAGAAAGGAAATTAATGTGCATGCTGAACATTTAAAATTGGTTCCAAATGCACAATCGTGTTACTATTCAGTAAAAAATCTGTAATTAAAAAATCTCCTATAACCAGAAGGCTTACAGTAAGTGAGTCACTTATTGACTATCACTTTGTCATGCCATAAAAAATTTCAAAAAAATATTTTCTTAGGTTATCACTAAGATATCACGTTTAGGAACTTTTTATAATTGAATTATGAACTTTATTTTAAATAGTACATAGATCTTTTAAAAATCAATAGTTAAAACAAACAATATCTTACTTCCTGACTGAGCAATTGGATTGATAGTGAAAATCCAGGGGGAAAATTTTACTTTAAGAAATAGTCAATTCCAGCATGGAAGAAAGGCAAAAAAAAAAAAAGCAACCCACTCAAATTTTTCTTTAAAATGGTCTATTAAGTTCTAGTGCACTTTAATGTACTATTAATAAAGTTAAAGAGGGTGGCTAAAATTAAGAAAAGTAATAAAATAATATTTGGCAGGGATGAAGTTATATATAAAAGTATTAATTTTTATGCATAAGTATATGGCTAAAAAATACTGAAGGCAGGCTTTAATTTCTTAAAATATGTTGTGTAGTTTTCAGAACTGAATTGATCACAAAAACTTTAGGCCTGAAATAGCTTGCAAAGATCATCTGATTTAAACCCTTAACCTAGATAATAAAAATATAGTCCCTATTATTAGAATATTTACTATATCCAGGTCTTATTTTGAATGCTTTCCATAACTATAATTTTAATCATTGTAACATTATTATTCCCATTTGCACATGGAAAAGGTAAGGCTCAGAGCAGGTAGGTAATTGCCAAAGTTATATAGCTGGGAAGTGAGAACTGATATAAACCTGAGAGAAAGAGAGAACAGAGATAGCTGAATACAAAGTCCAAAACCTCTGCATTTGGCTTAGATGGCGTAACAACAGTTTTACGCCCTAAAACAACTAAATAAAAAAAAGAAAACAATAGTTTTAAGGCATTGGACATCAGGAAATGGAGGGCAGTGGTTCTTGGATATAGGAGACAAACAAGGTGAGCTTTGTGATAACCCTAACTTAGTGCCTTAAAAGAAATGTAAGGCCGTGGTGCAGGGAGTGAGTATCCAGGAGTTTGGCAGATTATCTGAGTTGAGGAGACCTTGCTGTGAGTCCAGAAAGATCAAGGTGCCTAGAATTTATAGGATAGTGTTCTCATAAGAGACCTGTACAGAGAAAGAACACTAAAGATCTACAAAGGGTCCCAATAAATACATGTATGATCAGTGCAAATATGTGAGGAAACTACCCAAAGCCAGGGAAAGACCCATCTGAAGGATTAGAAATAAGAGTAGCAAATGCTCTACAATGTCAATAATGGTACCTGTTCCCACCAGCCAGTGTGAAAACCTGTAGTTCACAGGGAACTGAGTAGAGTTCTCAGAATGCACTTGCATCAGCAGTGGGGAATAATTAGCTCTAGATTAAATGCTGAGCTGGTCCTGCTTAACAGATTTTTAAGGGAAGACCTAAAAGTATCTAGCTGATTCCAAGAAACCTAACTGCATCCCAAAACAAAGTTTAAAAATATTCATAAGAATACAGAATTATTTGACATTTAACAGGGTAAAAATCACAATATCTGGCATCCAATAAAAAGTTGCCATGTATGGAAAGAAACAGGAAAATAGGACTCATAATGAGAAGAAAAATCAATGAATAAAAATCAACTCAGAATGGCACAGATGTTAGAATTAGCAGACAAAAACCATTAAAACAATTATAATTGTATTCCATAGGTCTAAAAACTAGAGGAAAACAATAACAATGTTAAGTGGACATATAGAAGATATAAAGAAAGATCTAATCTGAACTTCTAGAGATGAAAACTACAATGTCTGAGAAAAAGTACACTGGGTGAAATTAATGACAGATTAGGCATTTCAAAAGAAAAGATAGTGAACTTAAAGACACACCAATAGAAACTATTCAAATGACATAAAATGGAAAAAAACTCAAACAAAGAGCATCACTGAGCTGTGAGACAAATTCAAAGTGACTAGTATATGTGTAATTAGAATCATGGAAAGACAGGAGAGAGAAGAGGGATAGAAAAATTTTGGAAGAAATAATAAATGAAAAAAATTTTACTGAAAACTATAAACCCACAGATACAAGAATCTCAACAAACCTTAAACCCACCAAGAAACATTATAATCCAATTATTGAAAAATAGTGATAAAAATTAAGTTTTTAAGCAAGCAGAGAATAAAAGGCATACATAGAAGAACAAAGATAAATGAGCCAGCATGTTTTCATCAGAAACAATGTGCCAGAGAGACTGTGGGACTGAAAATATAGAAAGAATGTTGCAGGTGGGGTGAGCTGCTGATCTAGAATTGTGTACAAAGTAAAAATATGTTTAAAATGTGCGGGTGAAGTGAAAACTTGTTCAGAAATTTTAAAAGCTGAAATATTTATCTCCAGCACACCC